GTGTAGTGTAAGTATGTATACTATGTATGGTGTAGTATAAGTATGTATACTATGTATGGTGTAATGTAAGTATGTATACTATGTATGGTGTAGTGTAAGTATGTATACTATGTATGGTGTAGTATAAGTATGTATAATATGTATGGTGTAATGTAAGTATGTATACTATGTTTGGTGTAATGTAAGTATGTATACTATGTATGGTGTAGTGTAAGTATGTATACTATGTATGGTGTAGTATAAGTATGTATCTTGACAGTGTAATGCTCCCTTTTATTATTTTGTTAATGTTGTGACCTACAGTTAAAAGTATGTATTTTTCTTACCAATGAAATCGTCATAGGGATATGCCTCTTCTTCAGTAGTTGAATGTACAACCATGTCTTCCATGTATATAGTAAGTGCAACATAGTTTTCTCTGGAAAGAAATATACAGCGGCAATTGCATGTAGAAAAACAATATTGTACAACATAATCATACGTCATATTGTCCTTATAATACATTGCTTTTTGGCGAAAGATTAACATGAAAATCAGTAATAATCGGCTGTCGACTTACCTTAAGAAATCAAATCCCAAATTGTTTTTGGTTTTCATCCTTTTTGAAACGAACATCGCCGGATAGGACGCGAAACTTAGCTTTGATTCAAAGGAGATCTCTTGACATGGTGCTTCACATGAGAAATCACCGGTCGCTACAAATCAAAGGAAAAAGTTGATTATTATTATTGAAATATAAAAATATATATTATGTGTGGATGTGTATTCATTCAAAAAAGATTTTCAAATCACTTAGTTTCATTCTATTTTTCCCGCGCTTTCTAACTGATATTTAAGTAACCTATAATTCCGTAATCTCATGTTAATTTATGTTATAAAACTTACCAATAACGTGTTGAACACATGTTAATGATTCACGCACACTGCATACACGAATGTCACCTGTAATAATAACGTGTTGAACACATGTTAATGATTCACGCACACTGCATACACGAATGTCACCTGTAATAATAACGTGTTGAACACATGTTAATGATTCACGCACACTGCATACACGAATGTCACCTGTAATAATTCGGGAAATCATAACACATAACTGTTAAAAAAACGAATAACGCTGCAATAAATGCGTTGCATATTAAAGATTATTATAAATAATTTGTCTAAGTCGTTTGTCTAAGGCATGTTTATGTTGGCTGGCACTTAGGCCCTAAAACCTATTTGCATTTCTTGTATTTAGACTTCCTTGGATTTACAGTGGTACATACAAACTACCGGAAATAGTGCACCAACACATAATCAGGTTATGAACAGCGGTGTCAGAATACCACGCAATAAGTGTTTGTAAAATTCGCACTGATTGAATGATTATGCAAATTAGTAACTTCCGTATTTCACTGTAAGTTAACACTTAAATAGGTCCGCAAGTTTAAGTTTGTTTATGCTGACGGGTTCGTTGTTTACAATTTTGTGTTAAAAATAGTGTCAACAAGGTGTTTGTCCCCACGGTCTACTAAAGTAATAAACACTTTTGGCATCAAACATATATCAAGTTATATAGTGTAATCATTTCAAATCAAATGGATAAAGCTCTATATTTTTAAACCGAAACTGAGACCCTATGTTTAGCGTTCTGATGGTTGTAAATCATTTATTAAATATATTCCACGTGTACATTTGTACATTAATTACCAGAGAAAATCTGTTTTTTAAACATGTGATGCCATGAATAACGGTGATATGATGTGGTTACACTAATAATACAAGTCTATTTAACAGACACATGCACAGAGAACACCCTGGTATCATTAACACCATTGCTCAAACTGTCGAGTGATTATTTACTTTTCATAAAATAAA